CGAACCCCCACTGTAGTTTTGAGGGTATTCTTGGTTGTGGATGTGGTACTCCTTCCCGACTATCATTTCCTGATACACATCGCAATTAGGATCGATTGCTGCGTACATGGGCACCAGGAAATTCCAAAGGGCCGCCGAAATCATTGCGCTGCTTGCGAAGCTCCCTAAATAATAATACGTTTAGGGTGGGCCGTTTATCTTGGGACACTTTCTTATCTCGGAAACTATAGGGAATGGAGCCAAAAGTAAAAAAGAAAAGTTAATGGCGGTATTACAAACCTTCAATTTATTTTAATGTTGTATACACAGGGTGTTTAATTTTTCGAGGGCGAGTATCCATTTTCTTATTTTAAATGGAATGCCTGGTATATTACTTTATTTTTGAACTCATTTTGTGTATAATGTCCTATACCTAAGTCTAACCGTTTTTAACATTTTTAAATTTTTATATGGAAAATGACGTTTGCAAGACGTAAAATACCTGCCAATTTCTTCATTCGGAAGCATTTATTTTCTCGCTTGAGTGGGTTTTGTTATAAACAAAATAAATAAATAACGGATTTCATAAAAAAAATCGATACATAATTATATAGGGTACGCCAAGACTAGGATTAAAAATTAAATTACAAAAAATTGAAAAAAAACTTTTTTTTTTAATGGAAACTACCTATTTTTATAATCTTGTCATATTTAGTATCAAAAATGAAAGCAATATTTTTAGTTTTCGTCTATCACAAATAATATGGTGTTGCCATATAAGTTCAGTTAGTGTAAGGTGGCTATGACGGCGTTTAAACAAAACAAGTCCTAGAAGTGCGTAATATGTTCACCACCGAGGAAAAGATTGATATGTTAGAAAGTTACATATCGAACAATGAAAACCGGCCTGATTTGTCAACACTTTAGAATACATGGAACTTTGAAGAAAAACAAAATAGACGTCGTCATATTTTGAATAATGAAGAGCAACTTAATATTTTGTTACATTTTGCGGAAACCCCTGAAGATTTCGCCCGAAATGCGTATTTAGATCAAGATGTCAAAAGAACAACGCTTCGAACTTGCCTTTAAATAAACAACTGGAAGTCCTATAAATTCTGTTCAGTGCAACAGAATCAGGTTAGATTTTTGCAACAATCTTATGGAGAAACATTTTTCAGTAGCTATAATTGCTAATAATATTTAGAACCTCCACTTAAATTTTTAATCGGAAAAATACCAATTACTGGAAAAACAAGAATAATAAAAAACATATGGAAGTTACAAGTTCAGGTTCACCAAAGTATGGTGCGATATTGGGAGATTCAGAGGAATAAGTGCAGTATTTTTTTTATCAGAATTTAAATTCCCAACGCTTTCAAATATTATCCATCCCTTTGTTGAAAACAACGTGCCTTAAACGGGACGACCAAATTTAATTTGACTAGCAGGATGGCACTCCTTATCACAGAAGTCAAGAAATTAGCACCTATCTAAATGCACACTATAGAGAATGGATTGCGGAGAATGGTAGTTACGCCCAGCCTCCAAGGAGCTTCGACTTAATCCCCTAGATTTTTTTCTATGGGGTAGACTTAAGATTTGGTTTATAAACACAATCCGTCAACTGCCGACGTTTGATAAAAGAAGGTATGGGACAATTAAATGGGACTGAGGCTGTTAGAAATGGTATTATGTATTTAAAAACTGCTTGTGTTGCTCAAGGGGCAGGAAATATTGAACAACTTAATTTTTTATTCATCGTTTATTAACAAAAAAAAAATTACCAACGTTATCGCTTATCCTTGGTCTTATTCTGTATAAATAATGCATACATATTCATACATAATGGTAACACTTTAGCACTTGTTTTGTTTAAACGCCGTCATAGCCACCTTACATTAACTGAACTTATATGGCAACATCATATTATTTGTGATAGACAATTTTTTAAAAAGTAATGTTTAAAAAAGTAATCGCATTGGGCATGTGCGACCTTATATAAAATTACCATAATTTTTGATACTACATATTTTAAAAATGGGTAGTTTTCCCAAAAAAAAATTTTTTTTGGCAGTTTTTTTTAACTCTATTTTTAATCTTATTTTTGGCGTAACCTGTATTAATTAATATGTTTCGAAATTTCTTATGAAATCGGTTATTCAAGTCCTTCGTCGACAACAAAACATTTATATATAAATATTTTAAGTGTTGCTAACGTCACGCATAAAAATATAAAAATATCGGAAACCTTAGGTATGGGACAATATACCCAAAATATGTCTAAAACTTTGTATAAAATTTATAAATGAAGTAGTACACCCGGTGTTCCATTTAAAATAAGAAAGTTGAGTTTCGCCTACGAAAAATGAAACACCCTGTATATACACAATTAAAATAAATTAAAGGTAATACGATAATAATATATTATATTATGCCTAATTAAATGTTTGATTTAAATATTCTCTTACTGCAACAATAAAGTGAGCAGGCGCGCTCTCATGTGTGATCCATATTCTGTTCCTTATTAAACGTGACACTCCTAACAATATTGGCAAATACTGTTCTAAAAATTTAGCCTTTCAGGTGGGAAGAACATTCGAAACCAAGACGTGCAAGATACTTTGATTATTTCCAATTGTTCTAGTACAAAATTAATTGTTTAAATAGAATTTAAAACTGCTTCTTCAGTTGCCGGAGTTCCGGTTCTGGTATGACTACGGAAAACATTATTCCCTCATTTGGGATGCTATGAATTTACCACAACCTTTTCATATTTTTCATTTGATCAACGCTTGCACTACCGATCATAACTAAAGGTTTTTTTCGTCTGGAACGTACATTCGTTATTTCCATGTTTAAGCCTCTTATTTCCAATTGCAAACGTTCAAAATTAATTGTTTTTCTCTTTCAGAATGACGCATTTTATTTATTACAAAAAAAACATAGTATTACCAAATCTGTAGCCGTCACTGTCAGTTATTCGTCTTATGATAACGACCTACTTCACAGCCACCCAAGATATAAATGATAAATTCTAGAATATTATTTAATTTTTTAAACATTGCTTTCATGTTTAAAGCGCATGTATCTCAAAACTTTGGGGAATTTGGGCGAAATTTCTAGTGAATTTTATTAAGCGTATAATATACAGGGTGTTCCATGAAAAACAAATAACTTTTATCTGTGGTTGATTTCTGCAGCACCCTGTTATTTATAAAAGCATGTCTTGCAAGTAGTTTAATGTTTTTTGAACAACTTTTGTATTTGACGTTTTACCCCAAAAGTTAAACGAAAAAGTTAAACTTCAAAGGTTAAATGGTCGCTCACCCATACTGCCGTTGACATAACACTAACTTTACACTTTATTAAATTCCTGCTATCGCGTTTCAATTAATTTTTAAGGATTATTATTTGTCCAAGTTCGATTATACGAAACAATACCTTTCGATTCACATTTAAGTTCATTAGTAAGCTTATGTTAACATTCTATATATACAGGGTCAGCAGTTGAAGGCTCTAAATTAAAATATGGGGCATTATTCTGATGAATCTATTGGCGACCAAGTAGGATTGTGCAATTGACTGGTCAATTGACCAAAATAATTTTTAAATACCATGAAATTTATATTCGCTGAGTATGGTATTCGGATAATCCTTGAAGAGGGTTATAGGTATTGGTATTGGTATTGGTGTTAAAGGGAGGCGCCCTCGCGGGCGTCCAAGCACTTAGGCCACCAGATGGGCCCGTTGTGCCCCCGGGCCGCTCTAGAGGGCGTCCAGAATGCCGCCCCTCCTATAGAAGGTCAACAACTCCTTCAGCTCAATATCGTGCGCTTCCGAAGACTCCCAATCTTGCCCATGTCAAGGCGGGGCACTCGGTGTGCAGACGATACGGGGTCTCCTGCCCTTCCATGCAAGGGTTATAGGTAAATTAGACATACAAAACGCATAATAATCTATTATAAAATACATTTCACTTTTTACAAAACTTCTGGATTCCTCCTGCGTCGGTTTTTGCTGAATCGAACTTGCTGAGGTTTCGCCAATCATCCTGTTGGTTTCTTCAGAGCTTGACTGAACGTTGGTAGAAGAATTGATTACATGCAAGAATTTTAGTTTTATAGAATAAAATTTTATATTTGGTTTCGCGATCGGCAAGTGGTAAGTCTGGTTTTGACGTTATATTTCGTTAGAACATTTGATATGTGGTCAGTGATATTTTGATATAAGGAAGGACCACTACTATTAGCTGGTTGTGCTGAAGTGTATTTTGTGATGGAACACCTAATATCTGTAATGTAGAAATTATTAGACAGGGAAAAGCAGAGGTAAGGTGTTTTAATTCTGGGTTCAGTGACTCGGGCTGAAATAGTTTTAAGGTTCTGTAAATAAAAGAGATGATAGCCGATGATTTTTGGGCTGGATGGTAATGTTAGCATACATTAAGATATCGGTCTGTGTGCGTAGATTTTCTATAAATACAATGGTCCAACGTTAGGTCTGATTTCCGGTTGATAAGAATATCTAAGAATGGGAGGTTAATATTAGTTTCCAACTTAATGGTAAAACGTATGTTAGGGTGTATAGAATTTAAATGTCTAAGAAAATCTACTAGGGATTCTTGACCATGAGGCCAAATAAAAAAAGTATCATAGACGTATGGTTTTCATAATTTTTGTTTTAGATGAAAGGTGTCGAGAGCTTTCTTCTCAAAGGCTTCCTTCCATAGTTGTATTCGCTATGACTGGTGATAGTGGAGAACCCACAGCCAGATTTATCACTTGTCCAAAAATCTCTCTACATCTTCGATAAACACTATACAGAGGTTATTCAAAACAATTTCTGGGTAGTCAATTTAGAAGTGGTCAATTTACAGTCAATTGGATAGCTGGTAGATACTATAACCCCGATAGATGCCAGATTTACATTGAACACCAACAGGACAAAGGACTCGGAATCATGGATAAATTTCATTTCACCTTTGTGGCATATGGAGGGTCAAAATGAAAAACTTCTTTCAACCATATCAACATTTATTGATTCTGCAGTGCAATAAATACAATGAACCGAATATTATTTTACTCGTTACTCCCAAAATATAAATGATGCAGTCCTCTGTAGCGGCCGTGTCTACTACGTACAAAAAGTGGCACCTGGTGAAGAAAGAAGACTCAGATATAACATGGTGAGAAGAAAAACAAATATTTTTAACTTTGAAAATGCCATTTCTTTGCGCTTTTTGGATTTTCAGCCAGTAATACTAAGCGTCACTGTCTTTCTCTATAGCAATGTTGTTGGATTTTTTTCTTTAAACTTAAGATCTTGTGAGGTTCGTTATGAAGTTCAAGAACAATTTTTTTTGTATTATCTCAATTGTCGCTCAATTACTTGCAGAGTGATCAGATAAGGTTATATATTTTTGTTTCATTTTTAAATATCCCTTTAAAAGGCGAAAAATGAAAAATGTTTTTATACCACACGCGGCGTTGCGATATCAGACACCCTGTATATGTTTTCGGATAGCAATTTAAAAGACATGTGATGTACACTTCTAGAAAGGGCAGGCTGTTATCCTCTTCAAGTTCTATTGCAAATTGAATCCTTGGGCGAATGGAATTCAGATGTTCTAGGAATTTCAAAAGCTCCTCCTTGCCAAAAGGTTATACAACAAATACGTCATCAACGTATCTTGTCCATAGTATCTTGATCAAATGACATTTGATAAAGACACGTGTTGTCGAAACAATTGTCATGTAAAAATATATAATTTCGTGAAAATCTGAACTTTTATTTCTTATTTATTTTTATGTAATCAAATATGTTCATCGCTACCTTTAAAGGTTCTCCGTTATAGGGAAACATTTTCAGAACCACTAATAATTTCCCAGGTTTTATAAAATGGCAAATCGAAACATAACCATTAGGATTAACGAAGAACGATAGTTGAAAGGTCGATGTTTTCTGCTAAGAGTCGATTTTGCTCGCGGGTTATCAGCAATGAACGTACCTGTCGTTGCAACGATCCAATTTAAGTACGAAGTTACCCTGGTGTTTATTCCGGGAATATCATTGGGGCAATCGATCCCATGGGATATGACCCCGACAAGGTACAACTTTCCATTGTCAGGATTCATCCACAGCAGCGGGCCCCCGGAATCACCAATGCACTCGTGCATTCCTTGAGCAAATGCACAAATCTGATCGCTGTTGATGGTCTCGCTCTGTTGTGGTGCGCACAGCTGGTTCGAAATTACAGTGAGACTTGCCTCCCTTAGCTCCTCCGAAAGATTTACAGTATCGTCTACACTACCCCATCCTAATAAAGGAAAAGTATGTAAAAGATGTTACAAAGTCAGTTGCTGGTTTATACAAGGTAGCTAACACCTGAACACAATTGAATATCAGGAAAAGATTCAAGAAATTCTTACAGACGGATCATTTCGTCAACTTAAAAAAGGCAAAGACCATAAAACCCCTTCGGCCTATTGTAAGCAATACTGGTTCTCTAACATATTCTTTATTTTATTGAACAATTAAAAATCATTATATTTTATCATTTCAGATATATTAAAATCCGAGAATCTGGAACCAAACCTTCTCACCTTAATTGAAAAATGGATGTCTGAAACATGTTTTCCTTATAACTGTGACATTTTTGAACAAACGTCGGGAACAGCAATGGGTTTTCTACTGTCACCAGTCATCGTGACACCTTCTATCACTTTTGTTATTTGGCCTCATGGTCAAGAATTATGAGCCTAACGTACGTTTTATCATTGAATTAGAAACAAATAATAACCTCCCATTCTTAAAAATTCGTATCAATAGAAAATCAGACCTAACATTGGGTCATTGGGTTTACAGAAAACGTACGCACACAGACCGATAACTTAATGGATTGTCACATCACCATCCGCCCCAAAATCATCGGTTATCAACTCTCTTGTTCACAGAGCCGTAAAACTATCTCAGCCCGAGTCACTGAACCCAGAATTAAAACACCTTACCCCTCCTCTTTTCTCTAATAATTTACACATTAAAGATATTAAGCCTTCCATCACAAAATACACTTCATCACAACCATCCAATGGCAATGAAACTGAAAGCAATCCCACACTTGCCACTGTTGTCCTTCCTTACATTCAAAACTTCATTGACCACATATCAACAGTTCTAAAGAAATATAACGTCAAAACCAGATTTACTGATTGTCCAAAAATCTCTCAACATCTTCGGTCCGTCAAAGACAAAATTCTATTTGAGATGTCAGGAGTTACAGCAAAAATATCAACTAGGCTAAAAGAACACGAAAGAGTCTTACGATTAAGACAAATATACTCATCAGCTGTTGCCGAACACAATTACGAAACCGGCTAGTTCCAGTCAAGCTCTGAAGAAGCCAACATGATGATGTCTCAACTACGCCTTGTTGGGGAGGTTCTCTATGTGCGTAGCAAGTCTTTAGAATGCAAAAACGCATTTTGCCGACTATACTGTCTAAGCAGTGAAATTTTTCATATCGGGACCTATTTCCACAACACTCTTTATTGACACTTCCTAGTATGTACACTTGTCCAACTGTGGGTAGTAAATTCTAAGGGTAGGTGGGTTAAAATGCAGAACAGGAACAGAACCCCTTAACAAATAGTGTTAAGGAACGAGGTATAATTGATTTAATATTTTTTAGTAGCTCACAAAAAATGCATTTTGCACGTTTAGCGCGAAAACGTCGCATTTTATAACATTATTCAATCCTTTACTGGTTGGTGGGTTAATAAATATATGTACATTTAGATTACTGCAGAAAGATATCTCAGATGCGCAGGAACTAAGTATCAAGCATTAGGAAGGGTTGAAAAGAATTGTATATTCACCTTAGGGAAGGGACAACACAATCATAAACACTTGAAGGACAAAGACAGAAGTTGGAGTCAAATTTATCAGACAGGAATAAACCATTTTTTGTTTCATTGCAATCATTTGAAACAGTTTTACACCAGAAAAGAGAACACTCAGTACAAATATTTTCTACTACACCAAATGACGGTTTAAAAATTGGTCGGAGTATACAGTGAGGTGGTGATGTGCGGAGCGCCCTCTATTGCCAATTGTCGGAGACGAAGTCGGCGAAGGAGCGCGGAGTGGCAAGTTCCTTTTTAGGGGACGAACTGTGTTGACGTGCTATTTGATTGTTTTGTTCGATTTCGATCTGCTGGACCAGAGTCTGTCGGTGGACCAGAGCGGTCCATGCAATTTGTACTTTTGGAGCAAAAGTTTCAATAATTTATAAAACAAGATTCCTGCTATCACTATTACATCCACTTTTAATTTTTTTAGATCTAAACTAGAGGGTTTTTCATTCCAGAAACTTACCTAATATCGTAACAATTTCACCATTGAAATCGTAATCCGCGTACCCAATTGGTAAGCATACGGGACCAACAAACAAACTAAACACAATTTGCTGTTGAGTTTGAACGGTCGCGATGTCATCGGTTAGCGGACTTGTTCGGTAGTTGGGGAAGATTTCGTAACCACTGACGTCATAAATTGCCGAATAACGGCCATTTCCTAAAAAGGGAATTATTCTTGTGAATAAAGGTCTGCCGTCCAATCTCCCAGTTTTATCTGGCGCTTTATTTTGAATATAGTACAAAAATAATCAGCGTCAAATAAAAATTTTAACAGTAGAGCCTCTTTAAGGAAGAGTATGTATAAAACAATAATAAGTTAAGTAGTTTTATATGGTTAAATAAGGGCAATCATTAGAAACGTTCGAATGAGAGGTTCAGGGAAAATATATATCGCGAAGTGGGGGGAGTATGGGGAAAAACGGGAAGTAATCGAACTATATGATAAACTATCGATAACCCATATAATTAAAGCACAAAAGATGGCATATAAAGAGATATTTGAAAAAATGCATATGAAAATCGCTATTAATGGGACTCAGTCTAGACGCGATGACGTCATCGACTATTTTCTCGAAAACCATTTACATTTTCGAAAAATTCTTGGACCAGGAATCGAAGGGGATCCAGGGCTATAAACTCTATTTCCTGGATTTTTTCAATTATGTACAGGGTGTGTCGATTGCGGATAAAAAATCAAAAAGATCAAAAGGTTTAAGCGATATCGTAAATTGAATATTTTAAAAATACAAGCTGAAGGATGCGCGTTGAACCAATTCGAAAATCAATTACCCAAAAACCAAATAACCTGAATTATTCCGATCCGGCATATTTGAAAGATCATTTAGTTTTGTTGGAGAGGTGGGTTCAGTTTTTTTTTTTTGCTATATGTAGGTAGGTACCTAACGAATATGAAATTTTGTGATACGTTTTCTTTTTTTGTTTTTCTATGGATAAGTATAAAAATAAGCAAACAGATATTTCTTATTTTCTTTGTCAAAATTACCTGGAAATAAAGTATATTACTATTATTATTATTATTGTTGGTATTATTATTATTATTATTATTATTATTATTATTATTAATATTACTATTATTAATATTATTACAAAATTAACTTTCACAGTGTAGGTATTTTATTTTCTTAACACCGGAAGTTCACTAGTTAACCACGAACACGCTGTGTTTCTTGGGTTACCCTAGAATTCTTAAAATGTAGGCACTTCCCGTTATTTCCGTGGACTGAACCTGTATGATGTTATGTTTTCCGTCGATTGAAGGCATTTTTCAAAATTCTTTGTGAGTGTTCCAGTTGCACCAATTACGATGGGGACAATTTCGATGGCTAGGTCCCTGTATTTAACTAATTTGTCGGCTTCTTTCGTCACAACAGTTGTTACGTCTATCTTTAATATTTGTTGCTTCCACCGTATTTTAACATCTTCATTGCTTGTGTTAATATAAAAATTTTGGCCTATTTTCTTGTTTCTATCTTGTCTCTTTATATACTCAATTTTTGCTAGTATAGGACAGCCAGAGAAGATATGATTCCCTGTTTCATCGTAGTTATTGCATAACCGACCCTTTGAGTCTATAGCGTTCTTTAGGATATTTTTTGAGTTAATATCGAGTATTAATGGCTTGATGTTGTGCCGCGACTGTCTGAGCCTTAAGATTTCCTTTTGCTAGCCACGGTGTTGTCGAAACAATTGTCATGTCATAATATATAATTTCGTGAAAATCTGAACTTTTAGTTCTTATATATTTTGATTTTATTATTATTACTATTATTAATATTATTATGGGTTTTTTTTTCAATAAAAAAAATATTGTCGTGTTTTATCTAAATGCCAGAGACTTTCCTGCACACCCGGTATTCTATGGATTCGGGAGTTAGAACAGATACAGGAATATTGACTTAAAGGTTGTGGAATGAAACCCACATATCGGAATTTCGGTCCCCTGATGGAATGTGTTCAAGTTAGACGAATCGTATATCATCTGACGATATCGCATTACCTGAAATGATCTCCTCGCCCACCAACACCGAAAACGCACGGGGGTCTCTATCGTTCACGCATTGGCCGGCAGTTAACAAGAAAAAGGCAGAGATTATGCTAGCCCCGCAAATTAAGTTGCGAGTGCCCGCATGTATTAGTGCAGCCATCGAAGGGTACACAGTGGGCAGTGCTTCTTCTCCACCCAGGATCGTAACCTAAAAAAAACAACTTTTTGAGATCTCGATAACGGTAGAACCTAGAGGACCGCCATTGGTACGGAAATGACTAGCGTAGAAAAAAAATTTTTTTTTTGGTCTGTCCATTCTCCGTTCTCTGTTCCAGGGTTTTTGGACTATAACGAACGCTACGCACTTCAAATTTTGCTGTTTTTTGACAGTCCACGGGGCGCATAAGCTTCGGCGCCAATCTTTATTTTTCGATTCGATTCTTGACTGTTTTTTGCACATTCCTATGAAACACGATAAGTGTCCGAAATTTGAAGCTATCGACTTCCGGGCGAATACCGTTTGGGCCCCTAACGGAACCTAATTTCAATAGGTTCAATGGGGGGGAAGTATTTTAATAGAATTGAAAATCCTGTTTGCGAGGATCTAACAAAAAATCATTTCTCGAAAACCGTTTATACAACTGAAAAAATTCTTGAACGAGAAAACGGATAAGTTTGGGCTCCATAAACTTTTATTCTTCATAACTAATATTGAATATTGGCTATAACTTAAAGACGTCTCAGATGTTAGTTTCTTTTACAGATAGCTAAAACTTTTATATTCAAGGTTTTCACCTATTGTAAAGGGTGTTCCCGATATCCCCTGCTATATGAGAAATGTGTTAAGTGTCCTAGATTTGCAGATATCGACTTCAAATTTAGCAGGGATGTAAAAGTCCTTGCCCACATTTATTTACTGGTCATTTTAGCTTCCAGAAAAACATGCTTTCTTCCCAGTGGACGCAGGAGTGCTATAACATTTATGTCAGGCATTTTTCGATTATATACAGGGTTTTCCAATTATATACAAAAATCTAAAAGACCCAGAAAATTGTTTTTTTTTTCTGAGAAATATGGCTAATCGGTGTCTATTACACAGGCTGCTCGAGATATTTGAGAAAATCCATATGAACATCATTATTACTTCGGTTCAGTCAAGACGCGATGACGTCATTGATTGAAAACTTATTTTCTCGAAAACCATTTCCTATTTTGAAAAAATTCTTTGACTAGGAAACGTGGGAGATCCAGGGCTATAACATTCATTTCCGGAATTGTTTCGATTATGTACATGGTGGGCGTAAAATATCTAAAAGGCCCAGAAAATTACCGATTACCAGAAGACGCCTTATACAGGGTGTATGCCCATTAAAATTACATCGACATACCAAATAAGTCACTCTTGTAAAAGTAGTTGGTGTATAAATTCGTGTGAGTTTAGAAAACAAAGTCTTATTCTGGTCTGAAGGAATATTGGTAATGAGATTGTTTCACAAAATCCTTATTTTCATCAGATCACCATCGACAATGTTAATAATACATTATAATAAATAATACGTTTCATTAGAAATGGCGAACCAATAGGGAACTTGAACAAAATTTGAATTTGAAAAATATCGCTTGAAAAAGTATGTTTATAATGTTAAAGGAACCACAAAAAAATTCGTAGTTCTATGGAACAAATATAAGCAATTAAAAATTTCGTCATTTTGCTTAAGGTTTTCTATTTTTGAAAATGCAAATGGTATATCAAATAAAATATAAATTATTCAGCCAAAAAAAAAAACAAACAAAAAGGATTTTAATCTAAATTGATTTTAAAGTACATTGTCATTAATAACTTAAAGTGTTATTTATTTCATATGGATAAATGGAGACAGCAATAGGATGGGTGTCAGTTTGCACCAATTTTTACGCGTTAGGTGTTGCCTTTCTAATGTGGCTGCATAGAAGAAGTGGAAGTTTGTTATTGGGTAAATAGTAAGCTCTCCAAAGTCGGAACTACAATTGAGTTGCTGGCTTTTATCAGCATTAATAATTTCTTGGATTTTTGAACATGACAGCATAATGAGGGTCTTTGGGTTTTTTTATGGCTTCCATTATTATCATATAAAACATACAATCTGACATAGAGTAAATACGAACATACCTTTATGTGAACTAAAAATGGACGTAAATAAAAGGCCGCCTAACCTATAATTCTCGGCCTCTAACCTGAGAATAATGCTATAAGCAGCGGTATGACGTCACGATTATACCCGTCCGTTGAGTGCCTTTTAAAAGGAACTTGAATTATTTATTGCGACTTAAATATTGGGTTTTGAGTTTTAATACTTAGTGTGAGTTAGTTCTATACATAAATAAATGTATCAAAGGAATAAAAAAAAATGTTCAAGTTCCCTATTGTCGGTATTTTATGTCAAATCTATTTTAAAAACGTACTTTTTAGTTCTGTTCAATATAGCATTTTTCGATATTGAAAAGTTTAAAATTATTTTACTTACTAAATAAAACCAATATTTTTTGAAAACCCTCCTGTACAAATGAAAAAATTTATTTTTTTAAAGAAACTTCCACCGGCTACTGTAATACTATTTACAAAACTTCTGGATTCTTCCTGCGTCGATTGTTTTTTAATCGAACTTGCCAACGTGTCGTAAATCATCTTGTCGCCTTCTTTGGAGCTTAAATGAAAAAAATATTTTTTTTCAGCTATGTTTTGAAGAAATCAACGGGATGATTGGCGAAACCTTAACAAAAGCAAAAACTGATTTTTTTATTTATTAATTAAATCAATAAAAGTATTAAAGTCTGATTAACCGTTTGCTTCCAGCCACAGGTGCAGTCCTGTGAGTTTTGTATCTCCAGTTTTTCCGGACTGTCCTCGATAGCGGTCATGGTACAATGGAACTGTCCACCGGGAGAGTTAAGCGTCGAAAACAGTTCTGGAACAAATATATTGCCATGGTTTCGTCATGGTTTTCCGTAGATGACTTGAAGGAGAAATCTACTTAAACTGCTGGTTGCGGAAGGTATAATATTATCCGGAATATAGCGTCTGTATTTATGTAGTGCATGTAATCTAGATCATTATTTCATTTCTTCCTAAAAGGTAGGAGGTACTGTTTCGATGTTGTTGCTTTATTTTTTTTTATTTGGATGCTAGAAGTTGGAATAGACAAATTAAAACCCCTATGAAATGATTTTCTCCGAAATGCAACCCCAAGAAAGCCGGACTTAATTGCTTAATTTTTCTATGGTCAATATATAGCCTTCGATTTTATTCAAAGCCAATTACCGATTGTAAGGGTGTTTGCCTGGAAAATAGCGGAAAACGATCCGATCCCACAGTAATTATGTGCGTCGCCAAGAGTCTGATTACCGGTTGACGATACGGTCAGCTTGTCACCTTGACAATTTGAAGACTGCAACAAAAATGATACTCATTGGAAGAAATTTGTATCTTTCAGATTAATTTTTATTGTGGTTAATTTTGAGTGGTGTTACCAACTTTCGGCAGTGAGATATCGGTACAGGACAAGTTAATTTTGGTACCGATCGCACTTTTCGCCACCCATCTACACGACGAACCCCCACTGTAGTTTTGAGGGTATCCTTGGTTGTGGATGTGGTACTCCTTCCCGACTATCATTTCCTGATACACATCGCAATTAGGATCGATTGCTGCATCCATGGGCACCAGGAAATTCCAAAGGGCCGCCGAAATTATTGCGCTGCTTGCGAAGCTCCCTAAATAATAATACGTTTAGGGTGGGCCGTTTATCTTGGGACACTTTCTTATCTCGGAAACTATAGGGAATTGAGCCAAAAGTAAAAAAGGAAAGTTAATGGCGGTATTACAAACCTTCAATTTATTTTAATGTTGTATACACAGGGTGTTTAATTTTTCGAGGGCGAGTATCAATTTTCTTATTTTAAATGGAACGCCTGGTATATTACTTCATTTTTGAACTCATTTTGTGTATAATGTCCTATACCTAAGTCTAACCGTTTTCAACATTTTTAAATTTTTATGTGGAAACTTACGTTTGCAAGACGTAAAATACCTGCCAATTTCTTCATTCGGAAGCATTTATTTTCTCGCTTGAGTGGTTTTGTTATAAACAAAATAAATAAATAACGGATTTCGTAAAAAAATTCGATACATAATTATACAGGGTACGCTAAAAATAGAACTAAAAATGAAATTAACAAAAATTGCCAAAAAACTTTTTTTTTAAATGGAAACTACCTATTTTTATAATCTTGTCATATTTAGTATCAAAAATGAAAGCAAGTTTATATAAAGTTGTATATCCCTAATATTTTTAGTTTTCGTCTATCACAAATAATATGGTGTTGCCATATAAGTTCAGTTAGTGTAAGGTGGCTATGACGGCGTTTAAATAAAACAAGTGCTAGAAGTGCGGGGAAAATATTGATATGTTAGAAAGTTACGTATTGAACAATAAAAACCGGACCAGATTTACAAACACTTTAGAATATATGGAACTTTGAAGACAAACAAATATTTTGAATAATGAAGAGCAACTTAATATTTTGTTACATTTTGCGGAAACCCCTGAAGATTTCGCCCGAATTGTGTGTTTAGATCTAGATGTCAAAAAAACAACGCTTCGAACTTGCCTTTAAATAAACAACTGGAAGCCCTATAAATTCTGTTCAGTGCAACAGAATCAGGTTAGATTTTTGCAACAATCTTATGGAGAGACACTTTTCAGAAACTATAATTGCTAATATTATTTGGACAGATGAGTCCATATTTAGAACCTCCACTTAAATTTTTAATGGGAAAAATACCAATTACTGCAAAAACAAGAATAATAAAAAACAAATTTAAGTTACAAGTTCAGGTTCACCAAAGTATGGTGCGATATTGGGAGATTCAGAGTAATAAGTCCAGTATTTTTTTATCAGAATTTAAATTCCCGACGCTTTTAAATATTATCCATCCCTTTGTTGAAAACAAAGTGCCTTAAAGGGGACGACCAAATTTAATTTGACTGGCAGGATGGCGCTCCTTATTACAGAACTCAAAAAATTATTATTTTACTATTTAAATGCACACTACAGAGAATGGATTGGGGAGAATAGTAATTACGTCCGGCCTCCAAGGAGCTTCGACTTAAATCTCCTAGATTTTTTTCTATGGGGTGCACTTAAACACAATTCGTCAACTGGCGACGTTTGATAAGAGAAGGTATGGGACAATTAAATGGGACTGAAACTGATAGAAATGCTATTATGTATTTAAAAACCTTTTATACTGCTTGTGTTGCTCTAAGGGCAGGAAACATTAAACAACTTAATACATTATTCATCGTTTATTAACAAAAGAAATCACCAACGTTATCGCTTATCCTTATTCTGTATAAATAATGCATACATATTCATACATAATGGTAACACTTTAGCACTTGTTTTGTTCAAACGCCGTCATAGCCACCTTACACTAACTGAACTTATATGGCAACATCATATTATTTGTGATAGACAATTTTTTAAAAAGAAATGTTTAAAAAAGTAAACGCATTGGGCATATGCAACCTTATATAGAATTGCATTAATTTTTAATGCTTAATATGAGAAGATTATATGGGTAGTTTCAATTAAATAAAAAAAAATTTTGCAGTTTTTTTTTAACTCCATTTTTAATGTTATTTTTGGCATACCCTCTATTAATTAATATGTATCGAAATTTCTTATGAAATCCGTAATTCGAGTCCTTCGTCGACAAGAAAACATCTATATATATATATATATATATATATATATATATATATATATATATATATATATATATATATATATATATATATATATATATATATATATATATATATATATATATATATATATATATATAAATATAATAATAAATATATAATAATAAAAATATAAGTCTTGCGAATGTCACTGTTCGCATAAAAATATAAAAATATCGGAAACCTTAGGTATGGGACAATATACCCTAAATATGTATAAAATTTCGTATAAAATTCAGAAACGAAGTAGTATACCCGGTGTTCCATTTAAAATAAGAAAGTTGATTCTCGACCACGAAAAATGAAACTCCCTGTATATACAAAATTAAAATAAATGAAAGGTAATACGGTAATAGTATAGTTTTTTTCGTCTGGGACGTACATTCGGTGATTATTTCCATGTTTAACCCCCTTATTTCCAATTGCAAACGTTCAAAATTAATTGTTTTTCTCTTTCAGAATGACGCATTTTATTTATTACAAAGAAAAGCATAGTATTACCAAATCTGTAGCCGTCACTGTCAGTTATTCGTCGTACGATAACGACCTACTTCATAGCCACCCAAGATATAAATTATAAATTCTAGATTATTTTATTTTTTAAACATTGCTTTTATGTTTAAAGCGCATGTATCTCAAAACTTTAGGGAATTTGAGCGAAATTTCTAGCGAATTTTATTATTTCAAAAAACAAATTACTTTTAACTGTGGTTGATTTCTGCAGCGCCCTCTTATATATAAAAACATGTCTTGCAAATCGTTTGTTTTTTGAAAAACTTTTGCGTTTGACGTTTTATCCCCAAAAATAAATGAAAAAGTTAAACTCCAAAGGTTAAATGGTCGCTCACCCATACTGCTGTTGTCAGAACTCTAAAATTTACTTTAGTTTTATGACCTTTACACTGGATTAAATTCCTGCTATCGCGTATCAATTAATTTTTAAGGGTTATTATTTCTCCAAGTGCGATTATACGAAACAATACCTTTCGATTTACATTATGTTAACGTTCTATACATAGAGGGTCAGCAGTTGAAGGCTCTAAACTAAAAGATGGGGCAGCATTCCGATGAATCTATCGACGACCCAGTAGGGTTGTGGAATTAACCGGCAAATTGACTGGTCAATTGGCCGAAATAATTTTGGAATACCAAGAAATTTATATTCGCTGAGTATGGTATTCTGATATTCCTTGGAGAGGGTTATAGGTAAATTGGACATAAAAACGCATAGTAATCTACTATAAAATACATTTTACTTTTTACAACACTTCAGGATTCCTCCTGCGTCGGTTTTTGCTGACGTTTCGCCAATAATCCCGTTAGATTCTTCAGAGCTTGACTGAAACTGGCTCGCATTTTACTTTGTACCTGCTTATATATTGTTTGAGGGGGCGGGGGGGATTCCCATATTAGTGACAGAGGTGGAGACCTGAGTCGCGGTTAAGATTGTTTAGCTTTATAGAATTAAATTTTATGTTCGGTTTCGTGATTGTGCTCGGCAACTGCTGTTGAGTTTCTTTGTCTTAGTCTTAAGGCTCTTCCATGTTCTTTGAGTGTAGTTGATACTTTTCGTCCGGTGTTTCCAATGTATTCTTTGCCGCATATGCATGGAATGCTGTAAACTCCCGGCGTCTGAAATGGAATTTTGTCTTTGACTGACCGCAGATGTTGAGAAATTTTTGGACAAGTGGTAAATCTGGTTTTGACGTTATAAGGGGTGTTCTTTTGCGATGTATAAAACTTTAAGTTGCAATAAAATAACGATGGATTATTCGATTGACATGAATTTTATTTATCCGAAAGATAATCTTGTCGCATTACATTTTAAATATGATTTCGGGCATATGACCGCCACGGCTGGCGCGGATGTAGTCCAATCTGGATGTCCAATTTTCGATGACTTTTTCCAACATTCAAGCATTTGTGGCTTATCCGCATAGACCAATGACTTTACATAGCCCCACAAAAGGTAGTCTAGCGGTGTTAAATCACAAAATCTTGGAGGACAATTCACAGGTCCAAAACGTGAAATTAGGCGGTCACCAAACGTGTCTTTCAATAAATCGATTGTGGCACGAGCTGTGTGACATGTTGTGCCGCCTTGTTGAAACCACATCTCCTGGACATCATGGTTATTCAATTCATGAATGAAAGACTTAGTTATCATAGCTCTATACCGATCACCATTGACTGAACGTTCTGGCCATCATCGTTTTTGAAAAAGCACGGACCAATGATTCCACCAGCCCATAAAGCGCACCAAACAGTCAGTTTTTCTGTATGTAACGGTGTTTCGACATACACTTGAGGATTAGGTTCGCTCCAAATATGGCAGTTTTGTTTGTTGACGTAGCCATTCAACTAGAAGTGCGCTTCATCGCTAAACAAAATTCGCTTATGAAAATCGGAAACAACGGTAACCTCGTTTTGGGCTCATTTGCAAGCGTTGTTCAGGCGTGAGTCTATTCATGATGAATTGCCAAACCAAACTGAGAATAAATCACTTGACAGCTGTTAAATCGGTCGATATCTTGAACAGTAATGTCAACATAAAGTTCTATACATTGAAAAAAAAAGCACCTAATACTTCTTTAGAACTTTTGATATGTGGTCAGTGATGTTTTAAATGTAAGGAAGGACCACAGCGGCATGTGTAGGATTGCTTTCTTCCTCATTGCTATTGGAAGGTTGTGGTGAAGTGTATTTTGTGACAGCCCGTTTGATATTTCTAATGTGGAAATTATTAGAGAAAAGAGCAGAGGTAAGGTGTTTTAATTCTGATTTCAGTGACTCGGGCTGAGATAGTTTCACGTCTATTTAAACAATACATAAGCAGGTACAGAGTAAAATACGAGTCAGTTACAGTCGAGCTCTGAAGAAGCCAACAGGATGATTGGCGAAACGTCAGCAATTTCGACTCAACACACACCGACGCAGGAGGAATCCAGAAGTTTTGAAAAAAGTATAATAATAATGTTAATTGAAAAAAGCATTTTTGTTTATTGCTTATTGTACAAGTTCTATTTAGGCCAGCTTATGGAAAATTGTTCATCATTATTCACAAATCGTCTGGATTCTGGAAACCCATAGGATATACGAAAAAAAGTTTCGTAGGAAAGTTTCTTGGACTTTCCTGAAGATTTACAATACTATAATTTTGTTGATACAGGGTGTCCCAAAATTGACCCCTCCTACATCAACTTTGTTATTTCGACATTTTTGGAATCCTTGGTTAAAATAAACGTCACTCTCTTAAGAAATTGCTATACAAATTTTGCATAGTTTAGGCAGAAATTGAGGTTATGTGTTTTTTTTTTCATATTTTGATTGCCCCGTATTGAATTGTGTTGTGGCGCTACTGCTCCAGGTATTGCAACGAAAATATAACCACAGACTAAGGAGATGATGCACTACTTAATCGGTTTGACACATGAGGTGCAATTAACAAAATCTTAAGATTTTCAAATGGAACACCCTATATTTTTATTCAGATATCAATTCTAGGAAAAAAAATTAGGTATTTTTTAATTAGATATTTTTTAAAGACATGGTATTACTTCTTTTCAAGATACAATACTCCAGATATACGAGTAAAACCTATTGCTAACAATACAGGGTGCTCATTAATACGTGGAAATTTTGAAAAAATCTACTCTATACTACACACACTTTAACATATTTCATAAAACTTTAGAATTAATATTTAAAGAAACATTTATTCGTGAATTATCTAGCTTGATTGAAAATACCTAATAACTAAAATACATAATTATAGTTTATAGGCTAACTAAACAAGTTAATAAAATTGAGTAAATAAATGCGTAATTCAAAAAAAGCGGAAAAACAAATAAAATTGGCTAACGCACAGACACAATAGACCAAGCCAATTTATTTTGATTATGTTTCCCGCATAGTAGCTTTTTTTGTTAAATTTATTAATTTTTTATGTTTACTTTTGTCAGAAATGCTGACTGTTCTTAGATTAAACCTATTATCCGACGTAAATAAATATACATGTGACAATTTTAAATGTGCATTTTAAAGAATCTAGAGAATTTGCTTACACAGAAATAAAAATTATAAAAAATCAACCATATTTGATACAAGAGATGGACAGATATAACATATTAAGTTGAACACCAACAGGACAAAGGACTCGGAGTCATTGATAAATTTCATTTCACCTTTGTGGCATATTGAGGGTCAAAATGAAAAACTTCTTTCAACCATATAAACATTTATTGATTCTGCCGTGCAATAAATACAATGAACCGAATATTATTTTACTCGTTACTCCCAAAATATAAACGATGCAGTCCCCTGTAGCGGCCGTGTCCACTACGTACAAAAAGTGGCACCTGGTAAAGAAAGAAGACTCAGATATAACATGGTGAGAAGAAACACAAATATTTTTAACTTTAAAATTGCCATCTCTTTGCGCTTTTTTGATTTTCAGCCAGTAATATTAAGAGTCACTGTCATTTTCTCTATATCAATGTTATTGGATTTTTTTCCTTAAACTTAAGATGTTGTGAGGTTCGTTTTGAAGTTAAAGAACTTTATCAAATTAATTTATGAATTTAGTGAAAAAGGGAAAATTTCTCTCATCTTTTTAAATATTTTATTTAGTTTTCATTTTAGGTGAAATATTAAAAGCGTACGCCCCTGGCTTTAACCAACCAACAAAAAATAATTCTTTAATGACTCGAGAAATCCATCATTGTAAAAATTTAAAAGAAATAATTTTTTGTAGGTGCAAGGTGAATTTGAATTCAATTCTTTTTGTATTATTTCAATTGTCGCTCAATTACGTGCAGAGTGATCAGATAAAGTTACATATTTTTTTATGGAATGCCCTATATTTTTGTTACGTTTTTAAATATCCCTTTAAATGGCGAAAAATGAAAATGTGTTTATCCGATACGCGGCGTTGCGATGTCAATCACCCTATATATGTTTTCGGATAGCCATTTAAAAGGCGTTGTACGTAATTCAGCGACAATTGAAATAATACAATAAAATTAAAGATAATTTTACAGAAAACAACTCATAGGTAACGTATAGGCTACCCTGTACATAAAAACTGCCCTTTCGCTAGAAATTATTACAAATGATTCAGTTGCATCGAATTGAATTAATATTCCGACAGTATCTATCACGGCTTAAGGCTTTATTATATGATATTTTATATTTTTTTATAGAAATATTTAAAATTATTTAGACAGTGATACTACAGACCCCTTTTTCTAACAACGTCAAAATGACATTTGTGAAAATAGATGGATATATCTGCCTCTCCCATATTTGTGGACGTAATCCCCATCAAATGTCAACATTTGATAAAGACACGGTGTTGTCGCAACAATTGTCTTGTAAAAATATATAATTTCGTGAAAATCGGAACTTTTAGTTCTTATTTATTTTGATACAGAAAAAGATGAAAAGAAAAGGGAGCATTTTGAATTTGTATTTATTAACGGTGGGTATTTGGCCAAGCTTATAATAGATTGTATAATACATTTAGATAGATTTTATAACCTGTCAAAATAGGTTTATCTCTCCCGTTAAAGGTTCTCCTTTATAGGGAAACATTTACAAAGAAAGATAGTTGAAAGGTTGATTTTTTCTGCTGAGCCTAAATTTTGCTGGCGCAATGAACGTACTTGTCGTTGCAGCGATCCATTTTAAGTACGAAGTTACCCTGGTGCTTATTCCGGGAATCTCATTGGGGCATTGGAGCCCATTGGATATGACCCCGACGATTTGTAAGCTATGAGTGTTAGGATCCTTCCACAGCAGCGGGCCCCCGGAATCGCCAATGCACGCGTGCAATCCTTGAGTAAGTGTACAAATCTGATCGCTGGTGATGGTCTCGCTCTGTTGTTGCCCGCACTGCAGGGTCGAAATTACAGTGATACGTGCCCTCCTTAGCACGTCCGAAAGGTTCATAGTACCGTCCACACTACCCCATCCTAGTAGAGTAAAAATATGTGAAACAAGTTACAAAGTCAGTTACCTATTTATACAGGGTACCTAACACGGTGGTCGTGAACACAAATGAATATCAGGAAAAGATTCAAGATGTTCTTACAGACGGATCATTTCGTCAACTTAAAGAAGGCTTCCTCTCTATCAGACTCCGTGAAAATATCTGTCACCCCTCATGACTCTAAAATTCCTCGTCTCTACGGACTCCCAAAAATGCACAAACCAGAATTACCCCTTCGACCTATTGTCAGCACCATGTTCTCTAACAAAATATCTAAATTATTTATTAAAACCCTTAACAGGGAAAGCTGATAGTTTCGTACTTAATTCTTTCATGATTCATGGAACAATTAAAAAACATTACATTAGATACACAAGATATTCTGGTTAGATTTGGCGTAGAATCTATCTTTACTAAAGTTCCTATTCCTGAAACTCTCAACAAAAATTCAGATATATTAAAATCCGAGAATCTGGAACCAAATCTTCTCACCTTAATTAAAAAATGCTTATCGGGAACATATTTTTCTTATAAGTGTCAAATTTTTGAACAATCGTCGGGAACAGCAATAGGTTATCTGCTTTTTACAAAACTTCTGGATTCCTTCTGCGTCGGTTTTTGCTTAGTCAAAATTGCAGACGTTTCACCAATCATCCTACTGGCGGATTGGTGGACTAAGCAAAAAACGACGCAGGAGGAATCCAGAAAGTTTTGTAAAAAGCATTACCTGTGGAAGTTTCTTTGAAAAATTAATTGATTATCAACTGTCACCAGTCATGACACTTTTGTTATTTTACCATTGAACTAGAAACGAACTATAACCTCCCATTCTTAGATATTCTTATCAATAGAAAATTAGACTTAACATTAGGTCATTGGGTTAACAAAAATCCTATGCACACAGACCTTAATTGTCAGATCACCATCCGGCACAAAAATCATCGGTTATCAACTCTCTTGTTCACAGTGCCGTACAACACTCTCAGTCCCAGTCACTGAACCCAGAATTAAAACCTTACCTCTGCTCTTCTCTAATAATTTCCACATTAGAGATATTAAGCCTTCCATGACAAAAAACACTTTATCACAACCTTCCAGTAGCAATGAAGCCGAAAGCAATCCCTCATTTGCCACTGTGGTCCTTCCTTATATGCAAAACAAATGTTCTAAAGAAATTCGACGTCAAAACCAATTGTCCAAAAATCTGTCATCTTCGATCCGTCAAAGACAATTCGATTTGAGATGCCAAGAGTTTACAGCAAAGAGTAAAGTCCTTATTTTAAGACTTTTTGATTATTTTACTCCTTATTTGAAACCATAACATTGTTATAATCGATTAACAGAATTTATAGGAAGGAACCATCAATTTTTATAGGGGTATCAAATTTAAAACTTATATTTAATGATTTATGTTATGTTTATGTTACATTCAAGTTATTGCAAAAAGGCATCTCAGATGCACCTTAAGGACAACTCTAATTTTACAAAATATTATGAATACGAGAACGCAAAAATTAGTGTCAATGGCACTCGAACGGCCAAATATTGACACTATCTTTTTCTTTTGAAAGTAGCTTTGATATCTCGGAAAAGATCCCAGAAGAGTTTCGTAAGGAGGTGAGAAAGTTGTTTATTTTTTACTATTATTTAGTTTATTTAGTTTAATATAGTTTGTCCTTTGTTCTCAAACTAGTCTCCTACTTTAAAGTAAATTTCAGTGGGCTGCGGAGTAGGATACAAAATTCTAAGCTATATTATTAGGAAACTGTAATTCTATTGCATTTAAGCGGCAGCAGGCGGCTCTAGCCTGCTGAGATTTGTTGGACAACGATATTATTAAAATTCAATACTTTTTTAATTTTTCAAAGAAGCTTCCACGGGCTACTGTAATACTTTTTATTAAACTTCTGGATTCCTCCTGCTTCGGTTTTTGCTGAGTCGAACTTGCTGACGTGTCGCCAACCATCCTGTTGGCTTCTTCAGTTTCAGTGAAGCTCTGAAGAAGCCAACAGGATGGTTGGCGAAACGTCAGCAATTTCGACTAAGCAAAAACCGACGCAGGAGGAATCCATTAGTTTTGTAAAAATGCATATTCAGTTTTAAGAATTTAGAGATTTTATGGAGAAAGGACATGTTTATAGATATGATTGTATTGAAATTATATTATCATTTTAGATAATTTCGATTTGTCATCGAACTCAGATGAAGAACCCACATATTATCCGCCGGACTCAAATTCCGAAGACGAACTTGTAAGATTGTCATTTCATTTTTGTCAACTTTTAAAAATTTTGAAAATGTTATCCTTTACGCCTTAACACTTAAGGGAACCAAGATCCTAATATATCGACTCATTAGATAAAGTTACTGATTTACAATATTCTTTAGTTTCGGTAATCTATGGTTTACAATTTAAATTACAGTTCAAAAAATGAATTATTTATTCTAGACATGTCCCGATGCTAAACAGTCCTGTTCAATTAACTTATTGTTAACATCACCTAAGGTATATATAAACCGAATGATTAGTTTTGAAAGACAGTCGCAACAATATCAATATTAAATGCCATTTAATTTCAACGTTTTAAAATTAAATAAATAAAAATAATAAATATAAATAAAACATTAAGCATTTTGCTGTGTACGAAAAACGTTGAACTTCTAATACTTATTTTTCTTTGCATAACTTCTGGTTCTAAATAAACGATATTTTGTCATCAATTGTTGATTAAAATAGTTTCTTATTATTATAGTTATTTATTGAAATATTAAGTTTAGAGCGAGGTTTGAGCTCCCGTAGTCTAAAAATTTTAAATGAAACAATCAAAAAACAAAAAGAATAGTGTAAATGCTTATGTAAATGTAATTATTCCAAATTTCGACTACGACATGAACTAAAAAAGTAAATTAAAATAGTAAATTAAAAGCAAAATAATTTAGAGAATGAATAATTGTTGTATTGTTAAATATTTATAACATGTTTTGTTCATTTCATTTCTACTTTTTACGATAAGAAAGAAGTGAACTCAGTAATTTCCAGTCCTGCAACTGAAAACGTTTTCCCTTCTGCAAACAAAACTATAAGGAAAAATAAAATAACTCGATTTCCAGATTTCTGCTTTTATTGTGAAACTGATGTGTTGAATTTTGCTCGATATATTTTCCGAAATCATTCGCAGGAAAAACTATCGAAAGGAAAAGACTTATTGCATCTTTACGAAAGAGAGGAAATCACATTAAAAACTGTCATTCTATGGTTAAGCCTGTTCACAGAACCTATGTTGACACGTCTGAAGAAAGCTACGTTGCATGTAAATATTGCTGTGGCCATTATTCACGTAAATTACTTTGGAGACATAAAAAGTTGTC